ATCTTTGTAATAAAAGACTAAAGCCATCAATACACTGCGTTCAATTAGAGAGAAAAATAGCACAGATAGTGCTGGTGTTGAGTAAATAAAATGATCACTCTATTGATGGCATGTTTGTTTTTTGCAATCCTTGTGCACGCGCTGGATTGCATCAGCAAAAGCGCATGTGAAAACTGTGTTCGGCCACCTTAAAAAATGTCTTATTGCCATAACTTTGCTAAAAGTTCTATTTGTTTCCATATCATTGCTTCTTTTCCATTCGCAAATTTAAATATCTCGCACACCACAAACTCTGGTTGGGATGTAAATTGGCTCAATCTGCTGGAAATGTTCGGAAATAAATGGAACTTCTGAAAAGGTGGTCCCGTTTTCTTTCTAGGCTGTTCCTTATGGGAACTTATGTTCCATTAAATGTTTTGCATCATTTGCAAGTTTAATCTTAGCAGTTCTGCTCTCATGGTCTGAGGTCTTAACAAAAATGGTACTCATCTCAGAGAATGTTCAAGTTGAACATGTACTTCCCAAAGGGATATTAACAACCAAAATTTCTGGGAAATTTTTTGTATAAGGTAAATGACCATGATTTCCATTTTTCTCATCCAATCTGTCAGATTGTTGAGATGTATCTATTTTTATGTTATGTTAAATTAACTGCTTACTTATTTAAAGCTTGAATGTGCTGGCTTTATGGAAAAATCTCATACTGAGGAATTGGGAGGTTAGACCTGAATTATGTCATGGGACACATGATACCTTGATGTTGATATAATTATTTATTAAACACATAGTCCAGCAGTATCTTGCAGAAAATTTAAATTACAACCTTACATGTTATTGTATTTCTTTGTAGATGAGGAGTCTACAATTAGTCAAGAGCAGCTTATTGAAGAAATCTTTGAGAAAATGTGGAGGTTTGTAAATGTTATGGTTCAATATTACCCTAAGGTACATTTTCTTTGGGTTTTCCTTTGCTTCATATACATTGACTCATGGGCTATTCCATTGTATACCATTCAAAAACATTGCATATTTATTTTCTACCATGCCATAGAAAATACTGACAGTGGCCAACACAGTCAATGTAATGTATACCCAGCATATGAAGGGAAAGTTGGGCGTAATACCGTCAAGTCTACAGAAGCTTTCCTTTACTCTGATTGCATGCATGTACATGTATTTCCTATGGCATGTATAAATAATTGTAATGTGTAATGATATATTACCATACAACAGAACAAAGGGAAAGATCAAGTTTTTTTAAGGTTAAAATCGAACCACAGCATAATTCTACATTTCATATACACGGTACCAGTAGAGTCAGCTTAAAGTGCCTATGAAGTAAAAAATAATTGCTACTTATTTGAAAGGCTTTTCAAAGTGAAGAAGAATGGC